GTATAAAATTTTCTACTTTAATGAGGGCATAATGGTGTCAATCAAAATAGCATTTTAAAGCCCCTTTTCCCTCAACTTTAATTAATTAAATGAAGTTATTGCAACTGATACAAATAGTCCATTATAAACAGAACGGAGAAATTCCCTGTTGCTCATACGACTGTTGTTCAACGAAGTTGAGAAAATTTTCTTGTGTAACAGGATCTGTTACTTTTCAGTAACGATGAAAATCAAAACATCAATATCCTAAATAACAAGCGAACAACAATCAAAGTAACAAATAAACATAAGATAATAAAAAAATAAGGTTTGGCCTTGGAGGTCAATGATTGAACGACTAACGTTGCAGTGAAAAGGGCTGAATAGTGTGATCTATTCTTGACCTCTCGGAATATTGGGACAATGACAGAAATAGGCGTGGAGCTAGTGGAAGCGCTTCAAAAAAGAAAAGTTCAGATCGCTTGTACTCAGAAGACGATATGCAAAGATGAGAGGTCGAAAGAGCTTGAGCTAGGTTGTAAACTTATTTACTGTGGAGCACCCAGCAAAAGAAATGGAGTGGAGTGATACTGATTCAATCGACTAAAACTAGGGCATTGGAAATCAATCGAATTAACGACAGAATTATTGGCTTTAAGCCGATGTTAGAAAGTTGTTTCTTAAGTATAATAAGTGCCTACAACCTTCAGAATGGCTAGGATGGAGCCGAAAAATTGACTTTGGGGGAAAGCCTAGACAGTGCACTGCAAAACATACCGCAAGTAAATTGATAATCGGCTGAACTTAATGAGCACGTCGGAAAACATCGAAGGAGTTATGACAGGATCCAAAACGGACATAGACATGGTAGGTTAACTAAAGAAAGAGAAAACATCTCACAGAAGGCGGGTGCACATGCTCTTGCTCTGATAACACTTTCTTCCAGAACAGAGAAATCCACCTGCTAACTTACAAGAACAAGCAGGAGAAAAGTGAGATCGACTACTTCTTGCACTGAGTGACGAACTTAAAAACGTCAGAGACTGCAAGATTACCCCCAGAGAAACCTTCACAGGGCAGCACCAGCTACAGGTTTTAGACCTCTTTCTCTGAAACAACCCATTCAAAAGATTGGCGCCACGACAGCCCCGAAGATAAAGTGATGGAAGCTCGAAGAGAAGCTGAAAGAAGCCTTCAAGATGGAAGTTACGAAAAAATTGATGATCGAAGACAGGAATAAGAAAGTTGACGAAATATGTAAGCGGATGACCAGAAAAATCATAGGGAAGACCAGAGGTCTAGTCGGAGAAGCAAAACGCACAACACATACCAGGAAGAAACGTGGTGGTGGAATACGGACGTGCAGATGACCCTAGGAGAGGAGAGAGAGCTGTTCAAAAAATGGCATCTGCGAAACAGCACAGATGACAGAGTAAAATATGCCGTATCAAAGAGAGAGGCAAAGAAAGTCGTCGTTGAAGCGCAGTCTACAAGTGGGCGAGAGCTTATACGAAAAATTGGCAACAAAGAAAGGAGAAAGAGGCATATTCGCGCAGTGAAAGCCAGACAAGGAAGAACAAGACACGTAAGTTTTGTAAAGTGCATAAAAGACGAAAGCGGAATAGTGCTGACCGTGAAAAAAAGTATTCGATGGCGAAGGCAATTCCAAACGCTACTAAAGGAAGAACATTTTTGAGAGGATGCAAAAGAGACCCTGCATAAGCAAGGCCTAGTTGTAAAAATCTCACCTGTGGAAGTGTAACAAGCTTAAAGCAGAATGAAAAATAAAAAGGCCCCAGGCCCGCACGGCGTTCCCACAAATGCATGGTAAGCACTGCAGAAGAAGGCGTTGTTTGGCTTTGCGCGTAATTCCGCAAAATCATATAATGTGAGAAAATATCAGAATCATGGAGGGCGAGTATCTTGATGCCAATGAACATAATGGAAAGGGACATGCTCGTCTGTGGAATCTACCGTGTTGTCAAACTGCATAGTTACACCATAAAGATATATGAGAGGGTGTTGAAAAAAAGACTGAGGGAAGAAGCCGATATCATAACGAATCAAATTGGCTTTATGCCAGGCCGATCAACCACGGATGCCATCTTCGCTTTAAGATCAGTTCTTGAAATATGTAGAGAAGGCAAACAGGTCATTCACATGATCTTCCTCGATCTTGAGAACTCTTTAGACCGAATCCCGAGGCAGACAATTTGGTATAGCATAAGAAAGAAGTTCGTACCAGAAAAATATGTCTGTCTTAGAAAAGACATGTGCGACAGAGTGGCATCGATAGTTAGAAGTACATGCGACGAAACGGAGGAATTCTTTGCGCGGGTCGGCTTCCACCAAGGATCCGCAATGAGCACATTTCTGTTCTTTATGGAAACAGATGCAATAACAGGATCTGTGGGAAGCAGTTCCGTACTGCATACTCTATGAAAGTGACGTTTTGTTATGCAGTGAAAGCAGAGAAGCTGCAGAATCAAAATCCTAGCCATGGAGAACAGCTCTTGAGAAAAAATCCTTCGACTCAGCAAAGGCACGTCAGAACATATGGAGGGTTTTTTCATTGTGGGAAAACAGGATGAAAGCCGTCAAACAAGTGAAAGTAGTGGCAGTTTGCTGCCTCAAGCGCATGAATTCAACTACCTTGATTCCGTCCTGCACGATAATATCGACAACGAGCTAAAAAATCGGTCGAGGTAAGCATGGCTCAAATGTGAACGGAGTACTGCGGCAAGAAGGTGCCCATCAGATTGAAGGAATAGTGTGCGTAATCCGGTACTTCTGTACGAAGAGGAATGTTTGGTTACACTGAAGAGATACGAGCGACAGTTGAACTCCGCAGAAATGCGAATGCATTGATGGATGTTTGGGGTTAGCAGAAAAGACAGCATCCGAAACATCTTCATGAGAGGCACTCTAAGGATGGTATCATTTTCAGAAAAGCTTATCGAAAGTAGGCTCGGTTGGTTTGGTCACGTGAAAAGAAAACCTATCGTGTACGTGGGAAATATGGTCTAAACGTCCAAGCACTGATATTGCCAGGGAAGAAGAAAAGGGGAAGACCGAAAAATGGTGTCGCGGTGTCGCCAAGAACAATATGAGGATCGAGGATCTAACCAAC